TGACGATGTAAGAGTCTCTTGGTTACGCACCTGGTACTTCTAGAATCCATCATAAGGGGTAATAGTGGAGGTGATAAATGATACCACCAGTTATCATGATAACACTGTCCTCAATCATACTAGAAAAGCTTTTAAAGGTCTTCTAGAGTTCACCTCATGTCCTAGGTCATCATGCTCCTCACAGAACAGTGATAATATCCACGTCCCTTGTAGGCATCCATCTGAATCTCCATGAGCAGTCATATTGACAGATAGAAAATGGTAGAACTCTTAAGAGAAGTTGTAAAGCTGCACTTTTCTGGCCTCCTCTAACACCAACTGAGCTTGAGACTTACTGAAGATGTGCCTCAGTGTCTCTCCTGATCAAGTAGTTTTCTCATTAGTTCCCAGGCATTTTGTTCTTCTGGCTCCCCTACAAAGGAACATTTCAGTATGTCCTACTTACCCAGTTCAGTTTGGAGTTTCTCTGGAAAAAGAAAGAGAATAATCTATTGTGTAATTTGATCTAAAGGAAAAGTGAGAAACTACTCCAGCATAATAAAAATAAAGTCATACTTCTATTGGAAAACTCAGTTAATGAAAAAAAGAAAACAATGATCCTTTTCCATCAGATATTGGATTATGCAGCTGATTTTACTATGCTATACATAATAAATATGCTTTCAGTTCTGATACTCATAATTCTGTTTCTCTTCAGCACAGTGATACTTAACTATCAGTTGAAAAATAATATATGTTCATTTCATAAAAATGTAGAATAGTTTAAAATTCATGAGCATAGATAATTATCAACTATAATTCCAAAGTGTATTTATACTTACATACATGTTATCTTTCATTTATATTTTTCTATATATTTAAGTGAATAAGAGTAGCCATATATTTATACCTGGGTACATAGATTGTCCAAAAATTCTTAGTGCAATTGTTATTTTAGTCAATAATGTTTACATGATCAGAATGTGTTTCTAGGTACATTGATTTATGGTAGATTTGTAATCATTATCATTGCCCAACATTCTAATCATTTTTTCAACCACTAAACTTATTTGAAAAAAATTTTCATCAGTGCTACAATTTATAGAAAGACACCTTGTTTTCTACTTTTGTATTGATGTTGCTTTGTAAGTAACTGTTTTGTGGCTATTAGTTTAGTGAAGCTATAATTAAGATGCTAATATACAAATTATTTCTATCTAGTGATCACTACAGTAGAGAAAGGAAAACATTTTACTTAGAATATTATAGTTTATTTTCTAAACAATTGATACATATACAAGAGTAAAGAAAGTCAATGCAGATGGGAGAAATTAAGATGGTGAATAAATTAACAGATTAGCAACTATTCAATTAAACTTTAATGTATGTATTTTCAAGTATGCATGTTTTATAGACTTGAGAGCATATTAGTAAATAATATCTATTTTTTTGGTAAAAATCACTAGAAGATCTTCTGTTAACATGAATATGCTGGTCTAAAAGGTGAGAGCACTGACCTGGGATTGAGATAGTTGACTTCTTCTCCTCATTGAGGATGGGATTATGAATGACACAGGACATGGTCTCTAAAGAGGCATCCCTCACCTCAAGGGTGGATTCCACATAGAAGAGGTCATCATTATTTTGAAAGTGGTGCTCAAGGAAAGTTTCCATGTTCTCTCCCCTGGCATTTTTCCAATATACCTGGGGCTCTGGAAACCAACCTTCTGAAGTACACACAAGCTGGATTCTACCTTCCACAATCCTCTGCATATGGATGTCGGGGTCAGAGCCCAGACCTGTGGAGAGAAGTAAAAATTGTGATATTCGGAGTCACAAAAGCACAATTCATAAAGGCTGAAACTAGGATTTATTGCACATAGGGAGAGTTCAGGAACTCCAAGGGCTGGAGAGTAGAAAGTGACTCATGCCCCAACAAAACTGTCAAGGACTCTGTGTCATGAATTTCAAATAACTCTCAAGAATAATCAAAATCATGACAATTAAATTTAGGAAAATATTTTATAAGTGAGTTTGCCTTGAAGACTTCAGTACCATTTGCCTTCAAATGAATCAAAGTCAAAGACTGGCCTCTGAGAATTTTGTTGGTGATTAAAATATAATTCTTCAAATGGCAATAATCTTACACACATTAAAATACTTGCTTCAGAAGCAGTGTGTCTTTTTTCCAGATAGTCACCTGCAACTCTCAACTGCAAGCTTGTTTCTGCACTGTAGGATCTGTCTTGGAAATGGCACCAGTATTGCCCATGGTCAGATGGTTGGATGTTGTGAATCTTCAAAGCCACATTTCCCTCATCAATGTTGTTTTCTATCCACTCTACCCGGCTTCTGTACTCCTCCATCTGCATCTCAGTCACCACAGCCCCATCTCGGTATACAAACACAGGTGTGCTGAGCTCTGAACGGTACCACCTCACCTCCATGTTTATCGCATTTCTTTTAGGGAGGAGTTGACAGGTTAGTACTGCATCTTCTCCAATCTTGGCCAAGATAGGATAGGCAGGACCAATCACTTTAAAGTCAACTACAAAATAGAGTGAAATAGAAAAATCAATAGAGGTTTAATATGCTTGCTTTGAAATATCTGGCCTGTCCAACATGGAGGCACTTGGGGGGGAAAAGGCTATAATTTTAAATTTTCTAGGGAAATCTAGCATGATGACTTATACATTTTGGTTGTGATTAACATGATTATGTGTGCTAAAAATAACATGCAGTTCAAAACTCTGGGCTTGAATGCTGAATACAACATTGGTGTCACATTGGTGAGTCGGAGATAAATTTTCTTTTCTCAGTGACCCTTTGAGGTTTGAAACCTCCAATATCTCTCATTTTAAACCACTTAATCTCTCTAAACCACTATCTCAGCGTTTCTATTACTCTAAAGTGAATTGATTTTTTTAAATGAATAATTTTGTTCCTGTGGCAATTCTCTTTCCTAAAATTTAGTTCATATGCCCATTCACCAGACTTTTCAGCTTTTCAGAATTCCTCTTGTCCTTACAGGGAACTTTGGTTGCTGCAATCTTTAGAGTGTCTCTGGAGGTTTGAATCCACTAGTAGCTCTGTGAGGGAAAGATGTGATGTTTCCTATCAGGAGATTTACAGTCTTGAAAACCCAACAGAGGGTCAACTATAAGGTAAACCAATTCCAATGACAGCAACAAATTTGAGAAGGTATTTTTCCAGTTCTGCCTTCATTAAAGAATTGATCTTACTCCTCACCCCTCAACATCTTCTTTCTGAAGGCCTGTATGTCAGTCTTCTAAAGATGTTTGTGAAAGATTAAAAGCAATGCTTTGTCTAGAAAGTCTGAATTTTCTAATCAAATTTTAGGGTTCTGGGGGCCTTTTCTTTATTAATGCTAACTGCAAATAAAAAATAGTTGTTTTAATATATATTTAATATCCTTTTTCACCTTAAAATGCTCCAAGATCATTTGCACTTGTTTGTGTAAATTTACTCCTCCTAAGAAGAGGCTAGGATTTTGAAGCTCTGTCTCACATCCTTTGGGTATGCAGCCAGGAGAGGCCTATCCTTAAAAAAGGACATCATGCTTGAAAGTGTGGAGGGACAGCAAAGAAGAGGAAGACCTTGGATGAAATGGATTGATACAGTAACTAGGGCAATGGGGGTTGGTGTGTTGGAATTAGTGAGACTGGCTCAGGACAAGGAAGGGTTCAGAGCTGCTGTACAATGGATCACTATGGGTTGCAGACAATTCAAAGTCACATAACAACAACAACAACATATTATATTGGTTGTTATTTTTATTTAAGCCTCATGTTTAGAGTAAAAAAGACCATAGAGAGGCCTTTGTATTTAAAAGTTGGTTGTTATTCTATTTTAGAGAAACGTTCTTCCAAGTGGTGCAGCACTGTTCTGTCAATTTGCTGTACTGAAGTACCCTGGGGTTCCTGTGATGTCGAAACTTGTGCTGTTGGGGTGTCAAATGCCACCATGGTTACCCATGGTGAACAGTGTTTAGTGGATCTCCAAGTTTAAGATGGATCTGGAAACAGAAGCGGCATCCACTTCCTAAACAACATGCCTCTGGAAACTCTATGAACTTTGAGAAACTGAGGTTAGTTATGGAAAGGCTTATGAACAAAGGTCTTTTGTTCACAGGGTTGCTATGAGTCGTGCACAACGAGACAGCAATCAACAACAACAAAAGTAACAATAAAAAAACTTTAGGGAGCTCTAGGGGCCTACTAGTAAGGAGTTTCACTGTCAACCCAAAGGCACATGGTTCAAATGTGCCAGTTGTTCAGCAGGAGAAAGATGAGCAGTCTTTTTCTATGCAATTTACAGCTTAGGGTCAGCAATGAATGAATTCCAGATTGAAAGCACATAACACAAGAAGAAACTTGATCTTTTTTTAGTTGGTCTTTATCATGGAGTCACAGAATTGAGGTAGATGTGTACTTGAATTTAGAATCTAACCTTGAAGGTAGTATTTAAATCATACCATTGGACAGCCTTCTTTTACAGACTAGGAGACTGAAACACAGAAAAGAGAAGACAATCTCATTACAGCACTCGACTTAAGGCAGCACTCACTGGCTGTAGATCCTGTTTCCTGGCTCCCTACGAATGGTTTCCCATGGCCTAGGCTGCATCTTTCTTGGAACTCTTAGAATTTCACTTTAATGTTGAATTTTCATATATTTTAAAAGATACCTGGTTCTTTTACAGTCAGTAGTACGATGGAGAATAAGGCAATTAAACTAGACAGAACAACATCTGAAATTTCCGCCATCTTTCCTGAAATAAATACAAGAGAAAAAGTATGACTGTCATGTGCACTCTGTGGTTTCCAATAGTTATATAGTCTTAACAAGACAAAATACTGACCTATTTTCCATCAAACGGTGAAATTGGTTTGCCTCTTTTCTCTGTTACTGATTTCTTTAGTTGATCTGAAGATTACTACTCTATTTGTCTTCTAAAAATATATCTATTTTCTTCTCAAATGGCTGTAAGAAAACGGATATGAAGCCATTAACAATACCGAGATCTAAAAGGTGGTTGTTGTTGTTGTTGTTTCCCATCAAGTATGACCCACAGCTATCCTATGGACAACAAATCAGGACCCTGTCATATCTTGTGCCATCCTCACATTTTCTGACACACTATATCCCATTGCATTAGTCACTGTGTCGATTTATCAGATTGAGGTCCTTTGTCTCTGTGCTAACGTCCAGGTCACAAGTGGGACCTAGAAGGTGGACCTTTTGATCAACAGTTGTTTGGTGTCTTGAAGCCTCTTATTTACAGTAGGTGGGACTCAGAAGTTGGACCTTTTTTGATTAACAGTCATATTTGGGCTTGTTGGCCTGAAGCCCTTGCACCTGTGTCAAGCACTAACAGCAAGGATTCAGCAGAGACTTCCATTTGACCTTAATACCCCAGTATACTAGCTGTAAGTCTTAGCCAGAACACTTCAACAGCCTCTAGGAGAAACCCTGACACACCTATGCAGGCTTCAACTGAATTTGGTAATGTGATATTTGTATGCCTTATTTGCTATTAGAGGTACAACATTAAATAGTCAGTTTGTGGTATTTGGAGAAATTATTATTTTAATTATTAGTACAGCACTTATCTGTCCGTTTACTGTGGTTAGGTAATGTGTGGATTGCTGAGAGGATGAAAGCTATACTACCAATGTATCAAATGCCATAAGGGTCACCCATGGTGGACAGGATTTAGTAGAGCTCCCAGATTAAGACAGACTAGGAAACAGGATTAGCCATCCACTCCTTAAATAGCAGGCCTCTGAAAACCCATGAACATTAGAACAAAAATAATTATAGTATTAGGGGTAGGATCCAGATTGAAAGCCTAAAAGATATTCAAATATAGATATGAAATTAGAACAAACATCACAAGACAACATAGACCACTTGAAAATCACTAGCCAGTTATTCTTGACTCTAGTTATGAAGTGCAAAAACTTCCTTTTCCACCGACTAAGAGCAAAGCCCATAAACTCACGGAAAGCATTGCCCTTATTCTTGTGTGAGCCCACACTTGTGATATAACAGTTTATGCAGTCTTCTAGTTTTGTTTTATGTTTATATTGAAGAATTAGTTTAAAAAAATTATGAACAAACATTATAAAAAAAGGTTTCCTCAGCTCAATGTCCAACCACAATCAAATGGATTGAACAAATGTGGTACATTCATACAATGGAATACTATGTAGCACTCAGAAGCAATGGTTTAAAAAAATAATACATAACTTAGGAGAGACTGGGAGGCACTAGGCTTAGTGAGCTAACTAAGTCCCGTAAGGATAGATACTAGATAGGACTATTATTGTAAAAACAGAAGAATAACTAGTAAAATATGTATGCAGATTCAAGAGGGGAAGGGGGTGGGGACAGAGAGGAGAAGGGCGGGGGGAAGTCACAGCGTTGCACAACTTGGTGGGTGAAGGAAAGGGGAGTAAGGGAAATGGGAAAGGTGCAGTGGGGATCTGGAAAGAGAGGGTAATGACAAGAATGGTTTAATGGTGAATAATTTTATAACACATTATGAATTAGAATATATGAAACATAATGTGAATGAAGGATATTATGAACCATAATTTATATAAACTTTATATGCAAACCAATGTAAAATTAAAATAAATATTTTTTAAATGTTTCCAAATCCATGAAGCTTTTGAGAACTCTGTGAGATACTCATCTAAATCCCTATTGTGTAGAGAGAAATTATGTAGTACAAAGAGGAAAATAGTTGTGTAGGCCAATGTTTCTCAATGGGCCAACAGGAGAAAGGGGCAGTGGGAAGGTGGTATTATAGTCAAGGAACATTCTGCAATTCTTTGGTTTTTTGGACAGCTAGCTAAAATATTGGAGGTTCGTATCCATTAGTTCTTAGTAAGAAGAAAGATGGGCAGTCTCTTCCCTTCAAGATTTAAACCTGGAAAATACAATGACATCTTGCCAGGAGACAGAGTGGAAACAATATAGGTGGCTTGTTTTGATGTGGCTTGGTGGCATATAGGGTGAGTTTCCAATAAGTTGATACCAGAGATGCTATTGAACATTCCACAGTGCAGAGTACTTCCCTGAAAATAGAACTCTCTTTCCCAAAGTATCAGTAATACCAATGCTGAAAAACTCAGTCATAGACTACCTGCTTTAACATGCTGGAAATCCTTGGTTCATTATTTGTAAACATAATATTAATATTAATATCATGAATTGTTAAAATATTTTTTCAGAAAAATGCCTCAATATTAAATTGCCAAAATGCAAAGTATATACAGTATTTCATTTTTTTTCACACATCGCAGGAACCAGTAAGAGTAGTTTGAAGTTTATCTGTGTAAACTCCATAAGTAAAAGTAGTTTATCACATGTCAAAATGATACATTTTTATAGGTAAAACAAAATAAGAGTTCTAAGTGACAAGGTGACTTTGTTTCAGCTTTTGTAACCCTGGGTATCTTCTTTTACTTTCTTGAACTTCTACTCTTTCATGATAGAAACACTCTCTCTGACTTTAGCACCATCTTGTTTGAGAAAAAGAATGTGCAGGTGAGGCATAGGTACAAGTAAATGTTAGCATGTACACCTGCAGATGCCACAGCAAAGGAGTAGAGAAAGCGAAAGACTGGTGATGCTAATGCAAACTTAACTACATGCTCCTGTTTCAAACTTCTGACTTGGACTAGAACTTCCATCACCATTCAATCTCCATGAACACCTCTGGAGGCTCACCTTCCTCCTTCAAAACCAAGTTCTTTTTGATCTGTTAACCAGACCTATGATGTTCTGGACTAATTCTGCTTAGTTGTGGTTGACTGTAACGTGCATAATAAATCATCTCTTCTGTTGTTTTGGCTAAAGAATAAAATAAAATTTAAAAAGAAATTATAGAATCAGTTATTCCTAACTTTTTCCCAACTGTGTCTTGACCAGACAGAAAGAAGAAAAAAAAAAAAAACACAACACAGGCTCAGAATCACAAGTTCAACTTCATATACCACAAATTAGTAACCTGATTCTGGCTTTCTGATTTTTTTTTTAATTTAGTAGCCTTTCCTCAATCAATCAGGTTCAAAGGAATATTGTGATGACAAATGAACTACAATAGAACTTTTTAAAAATATGAAGTGCTATAGACATACTGTACAGTAAGATCTGTAAGAGTCAAGAATGAGTCTGCCTTATAGTTCTAGTTCACTTACATCTTCTGTCTTTGCTGAGCAATCTTAATTTTTTAATTGCTTTTGTGAAAAATATTTACATAGTCCTCTTCTGATGGAATTCTAACTTGCACAGGAGCCATCTTTAGCAAGTTTAATTTTGCTGCAGAATGCTGATGTCTGTACCCACTACTACCTCACTTTCCTCCACTTCCCCCAACTCCCCAGAGCCATCCTCCACCAGGGGCTCCCCAACCACTCACGCGACTGTGTCTCTCTTTGAGATGAATACAGGGAACTGCTGAGTCTTCTCCTCACCAGATCTCCAGTACGTGGGCTTCACCTACATAACAGGTTTCCAAATATAATTCAAGAGTCCCGTCCCAGAGAGTACTGACTGAATGAAGCAAGCACACTTGAACAGCCAAAAAGAACAGAACCACCCACAGTTACCCTCCAGGCTTTGGGTGAAGGGAGAATTTTGTTACTTAGTCCACACTGAAGTAAGAGACTCTGTGCACTCTCCGTAAATAATACTCCCTTCAGCACATTTTCGCTTTCTACATGTGCCTCCCACAAAAGCACATAGATCTTTTCAAAAGTGAAACCCAGGAAGGTGGACTTTGATTGAATAACGTTATGATATCTCTAGAGCTTCAGATAATTGTGAAATTGGCCCTTTTCACTATTCCTTAAAAATCGAGGGCACTTGCCTGCTCTATTTTTTTTTACTCTCTTCCCACTCTGTTTTCAGTTATCTTTCTCACTCAAGACTGATATTTCCTGGTTTTGTTGTTGTTGTTTGCCTTTGAGTTAAGAGCCTACGCATAGCTGACACTCCAGTGGGTTTTCAGAAGGAGTAAATTGCAAAAGAGGAGATCATCTATCCTTCTTCCATGGACCTGCTGGATTCAAACAGCGAGACTTTTTAATGCAGCACTTCCTAGAGAAATTTAATACATTTCTCAGTATAATGTTTGGGTTCTAAGCAGAAAAACACCAGAATAAGTCTGGTTTTGTTTTATTGACTCTGAGTAGTCAGAATCATAACAAATTATAGCTAAAATGAGAAGAATGGAAATCACAGAACAATTAATTGTACTTAGAAGGAAATCTATACTTAGACTAAGAAAGTATTTTTCTGAACACAGCACGGGAATACTGTATGGTTTAAGGTCAATATAAGTGTGCATCAGGGCTGTATATTTTCTCCATATCTATAGAGAGAGCTCAGTTGGCCTAATGAACAGAAAGTAATGCTACCAAGCCAAAGATGGGTGATTTTAATCTGTGTCCCTCAGGCTTGCTTTAATTGTTTTTAGTCAAACATTCTTCTGGGTGGTATAGCACTAATCTGTTAATTTGCTGTACAGAGGTAACTCGTGGTTGCTGTGAAGCTGAACACTGTGACCCTGATGTGCCAAAAGCAATATTGATCATACATGGCAGACAGTGTTTGATGGAGCTTCCCAGTTAAAACACACTTGGAAGTAGGAGTGGCATCCACTTCCGAAATAGCTACCTCTGGAAACCCTATGAACTTGGAGAAATGAAGAAAGTTATACAAGTGTTCAAGTCTTTCTTCCTTCCATAGGGTTGTTAA